CATCGGGATCGTCTCCCTCTGTGCCCGAAGGATCATTTCCTTAAGGCACAGCCACCCTTCCTGGGCTCCCATCTCTTCAAAACTCTTACTCTGCAGTGCGTCCTTGACTAAATGCCCAAGTTCATTGAAATCAGCTTTCCTAAAGTCTAGCACTTTCACCCTACTAGTTACCTTACCCACTCAACGTCTTATGATGAATTCTATTATTTGGTGATCACTGTCCCCTAGGTGATCACCGATCTGTAAGTCTCCTACCATGTCATCCCCTGTTGCCAATACCAGGTCCAGTAAGGCTTCCCCCCTAGTGGGACCATGTATCTCCTGCGTCAGATGGAGGTCCTGTACACAGGATAGGAACCTGCGTGAACGGTGGGACTTTGCTGTCTGCGTCTCCCAGCAGATGTCTGGGTAGTTTAGGTCCCCCATGACTATCGCCTCCCTAGTCTTTATGGTCTCCGAGAGCTGCCTCAGGAGCCTCAAATCTAGTTCTTCTCCTTGGTGTGGGGGTCTGTAGCAGACCCCTCCCACCAAATCCCTTTCTCCTTGACCTCCATGTAACCTAACCCACAATCCTTCTACTTTCTCCTCCTCCGATTCAAGAGGTGTTCAAGAGGTTGGACAGCCACTGGTCAGGGATGATCTAGGCATAGCTATGCCTATTTTCTACCACGGGTATTTCCCATGCTTCTGGGCTTTGCCGGTTGCTCCTGCCCCCTCCCCCTCCCTTTTTTTTTGTTTTGCTATACAGTATGTGTCAGGGGATGTTTAAGCTTCCCCAGAGGCATTGTGTGTTGGCTATAGCTAAGGCTGGGGACTTAAACTGGGGTGTGTCAATTCTCTTGCCAGGAGCAAACCCAGAGGTTTCTGGCTAGAGGATCTTGCCCCTCTGCTCAGGATCGGACCGATCATAATATTCGGGATCAGGAAGCAATTTTACCACATGGTCAGATTGGTATGAACTGTGGGGGTTTTCGCCTTCCTCTGTAGCAGGGGGCATGCCCTTGACCCACGACCTCTTGAGCATATATTGACATGACTTTATAGAAGCAAAACACTGGCTGTTGTGGTTCCCCTGCTTTACCTGTGGCAGGTGAGGGTGTTAGGTCTATGTTGTGTCAGGGCTGAGGGTAGTCTTACGTAAAGTTTAGATTATGGTTATATGGGATGGTTTGGAGAGGGACGATCTGGCCTCAGGCAGGGGGTTGGACTAGATGACCTCTGGAGGTCCCTTGTAGCCCTCCTTCTCTGTGATTCTAAGGCAACTCTGTTCTACAAAGTCCTGCCAGTGCCAACGGAGACAAAGGGTGAACTCAGCTGTGATGGAATATCGGGTGCTCCTGGCATCAAAACTGACCAAGGTATCCTGGGAAGTGGGCTTCCAGGAATTCCAGGGAGAAAAAGTCCTTCAAGGATCCTAAGATTTCTGTGCTCAATGGAGCGGAGGGAGTGAAAGGTAAACTGAATGGGGCCAGTTCACCAGGCCCTCCTGTTGGTTTCACTGGTGAGAACACAGTCATCTCAGGTTTCCCTGGAGATCCTGGGGCTCCAGAAATCCCAGGTCATCAAGGATATGAAGGCATTGGTAGCTTGCTGGGACTTCCTCGTGCTACAAGTGTTAAGACTCCTGTACCAACCTCCTTACAGCAGTAGCTGTCACCTGGAGGACCTGGAAGACCTGGTTGGCCAGCTAAAGCTACTGGGCCTCCGTGGGAGCCCTTCAGCCCAGGTCTATCAAGACCTCCTCACAGACCTGGAAGGCCTGGTTCACCTTTGTATCCCCTCTGACCTATAGATCCAGATGGCCCCCATTGTCCAGGTATTCACGGTTTTACAGGCTATCCCTCCAGCATTGCTTCTGGTAGCTGTCCAGGATGTGACAGCCCATGCAATCCTAGAGATCCTGGAAGACCTGGAAAACCATTGCTCCCCAGAGCTCCTGATAAGTGATAATCCAATTATTACCTCGTCTGGGGCTCCTGATTCACCCCACCCCTAGACCTAAAGGGTGAATTCAGCAGGTCCTTAGCTAATAATTCCCTTAACTTCCAAGAGAGCCTTCCTCTGAGAATCACAGGACATTTTGGGTCTAAGTTTTATAATGATCCATAACAAATAGGAATGATTATCCTCTTTTTACTGATAGAGAAAGTGAGGCACATACAGGCACATACAGATAGAAAAACTGAGGCACTTGTTAGGGTCACTTATTTGAGGCAGGGGCAGCCGTGAAAAGAACCCCAATGTCCTTACTCCCTGCCTCACACCTATATTGTGTGACTAACAATACACAGCCCATATTATAACCTGAAAACACAGACTTACCACCTAACAGTTGCAAACAGACAGGTAGGGGCTGGGGGTCACAGCCACCCTGCCCTTCCCATGTTGCTGAGAGTAAAAGGACCCTGGGTAGGTAGGGGAGAACTGTGCAGGGAAGGTTACCCAGCAAAGAAAAGGACAAAAGTGCCCTAATATACCATTTTGTGATCTGGCTGTAGGAGTAGATTTCCTCCCAAACAATAGGACTTGATCATACTTACTGAAGGGGTGTCAAGCGAACAGTGCTCAAGGCAGTTTCACAAAAGGCTCAAAAGCCGCCCCGACACTATTACTGACCTGTGGTTTTTGTCTCAGTGGCACGGGCAGGTGGGGGGTCATGCAGGTCACTCAGCAAGGAAATGCTTTACCTCAGGCAGCCTCTTGCACCTGCAGACTCCAGTCACAGCTGCAGCTGGATCCTTGTGTCCTGGGGCACGCAAAGCTTATGGGGCCTGTGCAGAGCCTCACTTCAACAGCGCAGCCTGGGGCCTCCTCATGCGGTCATTTTTGAGTACTTTAGGCAACAGGCTCACAGCTGTCAGACCTCACCCCAGGGTGCAGATGGGGTCCAGTGGCAGTAACTCCTTGTGACAGTCCTCCTAGGGGGGTCACTGCTGGCACAAGAACTTATTTTGAAAACAAAAGGCTCATTGTTTTTGTGGTGGCAAAGAAAAGCTTCAAAGGGCTTGCCCTCTCCTAGACTGGTGGAAATATCAGGCCTATTTGATGTACGTGGGAGTCATGGGATGACCCCCAAAAGAAACTGCTAGCCCCTCCTGTTATTAGACAGGGCTATTAAATGTGCACCAACAGCTTTCTTGGGACAACTAAAGAACAGGGACAGGAGTGAGGATCAGAGGTTAATAACAGGTGCTCCACAGGGAACACGAAGCAGAGCCAGCACCCGCCGGCCTTGAACAACTCCAAGGAGCCAGTGGACGCTGCCCACCAAAACTGCCCTGAGATGTGATGGATGAGGGACAAGAAGATGACCCCAGAGTCACTGGGGGTCCTCCTGGCTGGGGCCTCCTTCCTGGGCAGAGATGGCCAGCTTAGCTAGGCCCAGGGGAAGCGTGGACAAGTCAGTAAGTAAAAGAAATAGCCTGGCTGCTTACCACAGCATGGGGAGAGTCCACCTCCCTTCTCCTAAACCAACCTGCCACAGCCCGGCACTCCCAACTCAAGCCCTTTCCCCTGCCCCATCTGCTGCTCTGCTTTCTGCCCCCTGCCCCATCTGCCGTTGTGCCTGATCCCCCAGGCTGCCTGCTCCCCCGGGCCATGCGTGCGGGCACCCCTGCCCTGGAGCAGAGCCCGTTTCAGAGCTGCCCCAGGGGAGGGCGGGGAGGGCAGGTCACCCAGCCCGGGGGAAGCTGCACAACAGGCTGGATCACACCCACAGCTGCACCGGGCACGGGTCTCCTGGGTGAACCTGGGCACCCTCACGCCTGATATTCTTGATACCGGATCAGGGTGGGGGAGGGGGAGCGAAAAGGGGGGA